GAAGAAAAGTGGGCAGACAGAAAACAGGGCAGGATATATATCAAATTCTACACAATGCAATCTGACCTGTAGTGACAGAAGGACATCAGAGGTACCCAGAGACAGGTGTAGGGAGATGCAGGGTTGTAAGGAACACAAGGAAGCATTTTGGATAATGGATATACTTATGATCTTGATCATGGTGATGAATGAACAGATGTATCCATATATAAAAACTTATCAAACTCTAAACACTTAAGCATGCTGTTTAGTAAAGGCCAATCATACCTCAGTATTTTTTTTAAAGTATCAGAACCAAAGAATTTTATTTCTTTTGTAGATTCTTCTTATAATTTGCATCACTAGGATTCCTGATGATGTAAAAAATCAAAATTGATTAAAAAGAGCTGCAGTTTCAGATAAGGTTTTGTTTCAGCTATACGGATCAATTTATTTCATTTGTTATTTGCATTTTTATTTTATATGTGCAGAAGTAAAATATGATTAAACATCTGTCCAAGTATAAAACAGAGCTTTTATAGACTGACATAAAATTCTTAAATGTTCAGAAAGTATCATGCCATTGTTTCTTAGTTTCAATGGCAGCATTAAAAATAAAAACATTCTGTAGCACATAAGATAATGGTGCATCTTTAAGTCACTAATGTTTTAGATTCAAAGAAATAGTTCCGGAATTGGACTACTTCTTATTCTGTCCACAGTTACTGGTCCAAGCCATCATCATCCCTCGGCTATTTTTGTGACTATTTTCTCATCCACTGTCTCCTCTCATCGTAGGCAGAGATCCCATAAAGCCATTCCTCTGCTCAGAATCTCCCATGACTTCTTGTCTCATCCAGATGAAGATCTAAAATCTTTAAAGATCCTATAGTACTAATGTCATTCATTTCCCTACAACCTTTCTGCCTTCACTTGCTTTTCTCTTTCCCTGAGTTTTGGATTATGCCCTTCTCTTGCTTTCACCAAATCCTTACTCCAATGCTTTCTTCTAAGCAAGTCATCTTCTTACTAACTTATTAAAAATTGCAACTTTCCTCTAACACCCTTGGCAGGCAGCCCATCTAATCTCCTGTGCTTTTCCTTCTTTGCTTTTCCTTCTCCATGACCTTGGACTATATACATTTCATTTATCTTTTTGCCATTAATTTTACTATGTAAGTGCCTTGAAAGAAATGGATTTTTTGTCTGATATATTTTTTTACTGTGTTCCCAGCACCTAGAAAAGATACTCAGCACATAACATGTGTCTAGCAAGTGCTTACTGTTGTGTGAATGAATGAATATATATATCATTGTGCAACTTGTGAGCACAGCTGGAAGCAGCCCATTACAAGGTGAAAATGTCTTTACTGTTTGTGTCTTCTTAACAAATTCACATGTATTTGTGTTCATAATATAGAGACTTATGTTTTATTATCAATACACTTTGAGCCAGAATGATAGTCCAGGAATATGTTATAAATCAGTTTAAGCCACAGTCTGAGAAACACATCTCGGAGTATTAGGGTTTTCATTTTATCTTGATATGAATTAGTTTCTCTGCCCTTTTCTTTCCATTCAAACTGGAGGGAGAGTATGAGTACTTTGGAAACTCAAGTCAAACTGGAGTTAACTTGATAGCAAATAGACTTCATCTAGGTTTAAGTATTTTTTTAGCCTGGTTAAAAAGCACATAATATAGCACTATTCAACACTTAAAACAAAAATGAGTTTTAAAAACCAAAAGTAAGGTAACTTTAGCTAAGTGACTCCACGCGCCCCCCTGCCCCCTCCCGCCCCTTCCCTCCCCCCCCTCTGCCTCTAATTGGTTGGGGAAGTCAAGAAGAAGAGAAAACAAGGAGAGTGGCCATAATTGGTGATCGTCTTTTCCCTTAAAATAGAAAGAATGCTTTGATTTTGTCCTCTTTGCATGGCCTTTGTAATCGCCAATTATAATGTCTTTTCTTTTTTTTTAAATTTTATTTGTGAATATACTGTACAGAGGGGTTACAATTACATGGGCAGGATAATGCGTACATTTCTTACCAAGCATTGCAGCCTCCTCCTTTTGTTTACCCTTCACATC